GTTAAGTGGTTGGGAGCGGGATTTGACTTGAGGGTGGGGAAAGACATTGACCTGTTTGGCAGAATTGGTTTGTTCAGGGTGAGGAATAAGGATACATGTAAACAGTATATGGGAAACCCAGGAGGTGCAGAAGAGGGTCAGAGAGCTGGGAGAGAGTATAAAACTAGCAATGGATGGGTTGTAGAGACAGAGGAGGTAATGGCAAGGCTGGGCAGGGTCTTGGGAAGGCAAGCAGGGAATAGAAGACTTGGGGTTTGGGGCCAGGACAAAGCAGCAGGTGGTAGGAAGCTCGGGATGACAGGTGGAGGATGAGAAAGTGCTGGGAGCGTGGTGACAGCAAGGGAGTACACACGAGCATGCTGGAGGAAGCTGGTGCTGCCTCCAAGCCATCGGTACCTCTCCTCACTGCAGCCACACGTGTCCCAGCCACTTACGTTAGAAACCTGACTGGTGCCAATGGAAAGCCCACTTGTGCCCAGGCCTCCATCTGATGGCTCCACTGCATGGCCAAGGCCTTGCACCTGCCCCACTACTGGGGCTGTAACAGCCTTGCTGCTCTTCCCCTTCTGCTGTGACCCAAAAGCAGGCTCCTTTTCTGTTTCTCTTCTCCTCCCCCAACGTGAGCTGGAAAGAAGGTGGTGGTCAGTGCCCAGCGCCCTTCAGGAGCAGTAATGGCTAACTAGTTGGAGCTAATTGAAAACACAAAAAGCAGCAGGATTTACTGCCCGATCATCTAATCCTGTCACTTAGGAGTGACCCACTTGAAGTCACAGGGTGTGACAGAATGACCAGGCAATGAGGACAGGATTACAGAGCCCCAAATGAGATTACGCTCCTTGGTGGGGACGCAAGCTGCTGGGGACAGTGAAAAGATCTGCGTTGAGCACCTAGCAGGGATAAGACCAGATATCCAATGCTCTGTCTGCTTAGAGAGCATCAAAAATAGACTCTCCGGAGAGAGAGAAAACACCCAAGCGAGCCAGCTGGGCAGACTCAGGGTACTTGGGACACTGACAGCTCCTTAGCCTGTAAAATGAATTGGCACAGGTTTGTGCTAGTGTTAGCACAACTGTCGCTTCAAAACAAAACAGAGCAGGGGAAGGGAGACAAGCCTGCACTTGGCTACCTAAAACTGTAGGCTGTTTAAGATAGAAAGGGGAAAGGGTCAGGGATCAGAGATAAGGAAGGTGTGGCTGTGCACACCTTGCAGCGTCTTAGCCTCTGGTAAATATATAAGTAGCAGCCTGTCACACACAAATGGTAATCAAAGAGCCAGCCACAGGCTGCAGGATGGATAAAAAGAATGAAGAGATGGGCCTTGCCCTAAGATCTTATCACCAAAGACAAAAGAACGTGATGGATCCTGTGGGAGCACAAGATCAGTTACCACAGCTCAGAGAGAAAGGAGGGGACAGGACTATGCACAGTGGGACACGTCTCTAACTACAGGAGCCTTTAGATTTAAGCTTATTTACTGAAAACAGGTCTGCACAGAGTACACTTTCAGCCCAGCAGCTCACTGTGTATTTGCCACTAGAAGATGCTGATTTGCAAAGTCTGAGGGTCCATTTCTTAATACAGAAGCATCTTTTCCTTGCCCATTAATCCAAGTGAAACAGGAAATAAGACAGATCCTCACATTCACTTGCTGGTAGAAGCCACGTTTTCCATGGGAGCTGCAGGAGCTCAGTGCTTCTGAATAGATGGTCATCTTATGTCCAATTTTAACATGATCCATTAAAGGTCGAAACCCAATGAAACCTGTTCAGGGCTCACTTTCCCATCTACACTCATCACAGGCTAGCTGGATACCCTTAAACCTTGGTGCTGGGAAAGCCAGGATAAGCCTTAGAAATAATATTCTCTTTCCTCCCTCCCTGGAGACTTCCCACTAAGGACAGCACTGCAGTCTTGTCTGGCATCTGTCTGCTCCAAGTGTTTTCCAGATAATTAGTAATTTAAACTTCTCTTATACAGGATAATCTAGCTCTGTTATACCTCCTTCTCAAGTGAGAAAGTAAGGGCGTTGACATACATTTAACAGCATCTGAAAACCAGGGCAACAGAAGCTGTTACCACCCATACCTGCTTGTATTGCTCCTCTCTTAGAAATGGCTTCCTTCACAGCAGCAGGGACAGCTAAATGGAGACATGTCCCCACCCAACCTATCACATTTCACATCGTGAATACCTGAGGAACCCCAGCTCAGCACTTCTGTACTGCAACACATCAGGCTGTAAATCACAGCCATTCAGCTCTCCTTGCCTGAAAGACAACAAATTCAGTCCTAGAAGAGTAAGGGACTGAAGCTGCCTTAACCATTTCTGACTATTACACTATAAAGAATGTAAATGTATTAAGGGTGTGGCTCCACGAGCAGCAGAGCTAATCTGTCTGCTTCCCACGACCAGGAAGGGATGATCTTGCTTTCCTTTCCTCTGGCCATACTCCTCACAATGCAGTTCTGTCCCTTCCCTTGTGCTGGCTCAGGTGCTTGAGACACATTTGTGGGTGCAAAAATAGTATTCCCTTTCTTTCTCTTTCTGGATTAGCTTTCTGATAGATTAGAGATAACCTGAGGAGGTCCAAAGAGCTGGTGCACAGTAACCCACTGGGAGCAGGAGCATCACCCCATTTTAGAGGACAAAAGCTGTCAGATCAGCTCATCCGGCCTCTTAGATCTGCACAGTGAGGTACGCAGAAGCAAGCAACTTGCTGGAGGCCACATGCTGAAGTGCTGAAGGAAGCCAGGAGTCCTATTTTTTGCCACATAATCAGAGTAATTTAAATGTCAAGGTTGAAGCAAGGACATGAACAGTCCTTGCTTTGTTATAAAAATCAGTATATCAATCAATGAATCCAATTACAACCTCCCAATCTTATCAATAGATCATTCTCCACCTCCCCAAAGTACAGTGCAAGAAAGACTCTTCTGGTCCATTTACAGGTTGCAATATCTTAACTGTTTTCTCTCAAGTTAGGCTGGCAGATGTGCCACACAACAATACCAAACAAGTCACAGAGTTGCTCTCTTCCAGCACTGAATGAGAAGCTTCATTAACTCATGCAAAACAATGGTTTCCTTGTATCCTGGAGACTCTTCTCCCTTCTACCCAGCTTCCCACTGCCACTGGAGCCACATTTCAAGGCAGTGAGATTCTAAGAAAAACACCAGAAAAGCAGAACAGTGGGAAGAAAAACTGTGGTGCTGACTGTTCATTCAGATTGGAGAGCTGATTAAGACACTGTTGCAGTCCTGAGATGAACAGGTTGGCACTGTGGGTCTGGGCTACTGTTCAGCTTCTTGTATTCGGGAGCTACCAAAACAGGAGCCAGAGTTCCTTTGGGATTCACACATAGTTTCTCACTCTGTCCTAAAACCAGCTCTAGCACAGAGTCTGCAGCACCTTGTGGGAAGGAGCTCAGAGCAAAGGCAGCGCTGCAAAACCCGCATTCCCAGAGCCTATTTATGTCCATTGTGTGACTTCTTCAGGCTTACATAGCAGCAGCAAAAGTGTTAAATGTCATGGAAGCATCACACAAATGTTGTTTCATTGGACATACAATACACAGCTTTGCCTTAGCTCTACATTTATCCCAGGTTTCAGTCCAGGTTTGGATTAGCCAGCAGTCCCTGAGTTAGTAGAGCCTACCCGCTGAAGAGCAACAGTTCAGGAGAAGAACTGAGACAGGCCTGACAGCCACAGTCTGCACAATGCTTGGCAGGGAAAAGGGAAGCAATTTTTGGCTTTTCTTTGGAACAGGATATAGCTTTTGCATATCTTTGTGATCCTACATGTGCATCGCATATCCCAGGGGCTCCCCACTTCTGTAATACTTAGCATTCAAAATGCTTTATAGACTTTATGGTATTTGACCTCCTAAGGATGTATTATGCATTTTTAGAGAAGGTAAGGCCAAGACATACTAAAATGATGTGCCCGAGGTCACATGAAAAGCATTTGACAGAGGAGAATAATTTCCTTCAACTCCAATTCACATGTTTTTCCTAATACCAGTACCCACTTCGCCCATATGTTTCTACTATCCTTTTGCAAGGGGCATTGTATCTCACTGCATGAAAGCCATGTCTTTTACACAAGTCTTGCCCCCAAAACACACAGGTATAGTTACTGTCACATCTACCCTAAGCCATGATAATCCATGGCCAGAGAGCAGGACCACAAAATGCAGTTATCAAGTCCTTGCAGCTTTTATGCAAGCAAAGAAATAGAGTTAACAGCTGTTTTCTGGTTCTGGCTCTAAGCCAGGAACAGAGTACAGGATACACCTCCTCAGATGAGACCACTCATCCAATATCTACTCGTTCTCCAGAAGCAACTAATGCCACTTCCCATCCACTCTTACATAAACATGTCTCCAGAGAATTATACACCAGGTATGTTATATGTAAGCCTTGCAGACAAACTTTTAGCCTTCAGGAACTTCAGATCACATCTGCTTTCTGTCAGTACCCAAATTATAGGTCACTAGATCCTCCAGATTTCTCAATAACTCAGCATAACAACTGAAAAACTGAGGTGCAGATGGCCTTTCCCTTCACCACAGAAGTTGCTGACCAAAACAGAAAAATATTTCCCCGCCAGGGTGTTAGCTGTGTTCACCTAACATTAGCATCTTTCACAGAAGCATGCTCCTATTTTAACAGCAAAAATGAAGAGCACAGGCTGTGATGAACAAAATTGCTAACGCTGTCACCTGGGTACTGATGGAAAATATAAAATTCAACAGAGGCCTGAGACAGACCCTAGTCTTAATCCTTCATTTCCAACCACCTATAGGTTCACTAGGCACTACGCTTACTGTCTTCATCCCGAGAGGCACCTCTGTGGCTGGTGAATGGGAGATTGGGAGGCATGATCAAAATCAATGGGTGAATCCCTACCCTCACCATCTCTCCCCCTCCACACTGTGGCTGCTGTTGGCGATGGATGCAGATGAGATGCTAAGGAGTCACCATCCTGACCCACACCTTTACCTTTGAAGCCGCCATGACAGCTGCCGTGGCTGCGACGTTCAGCCCCCGCTTCCCAAAGTGTACAAGGGCATCGTAGCTCCGGTCTTTTGCCTGGACGAGGCAGTCATCGATCTCCTGTCACAGCAGACAACAAAACAAACAAACAAAAAAAAAAGCACAAGAAGGACAAGTTCAGAGTGCTCCCAGCCTCAAACTCTTGGCAGGGCCAGGTCATCTTTTATGGAAGCAGACATCCTCCATTTCCTCTACCTTGGCTGGAGAGAAGTTCACCGCCAACGTTTGCAAAGAGGAAAGATTTGCAGGGGAGCAGTAACTCCCATTGCAGGCTTTGGGAACTCTTTATTTTGCGAATGGAAGATTGGGACCCAAGGTCGGGATACACTTGCACAGTGCAACCACCACCAACAGGTCCTGGAAGCAAGACAGACACATCCACCCGGGCAGAATGGGCCAGGGTGTGTCAGGAGCCATTTGCAATCTATGTACTCTAAAGACAAACTGGATTGCCCCATAGTTAAAAAGAATCATATTATGACACTGGGCAGCTGCAGCTGTACTGCCCTGGGTCCAGGACTGGTGGTCTCAGAAGTATCTGAGATATCTCTGCACATCACTGCAGTGTCCGGCTTCAACATGCCCATGGAATTGGTAGGTCCAGAGCTTCTGGACTTTGATGCTGCTCAATATACAGTGAAATGGTTATGAAAGTTCCTGCCCTCACCCTCCCTCCCTCAAGACACAGAGGTCTGGATGATAATGGATGACAATGACTTCTAGTACTCAGCTACCAGATGTGCTGGGTTAGTAGGGACTGGAGGCTGCAAGAAGCTGCTGGCTGTCAGTGATTCCCTCCCTCTTCCTAGTAGATAAGAGGTGGCAACCCAAAATGCACAAGCGCTACTTGTGAGAAGCGTAAGCAGAAGTTCCCAGGAAGCAGAGAGACAGGGGACTGATTCCCACTGTCCTTCTTGGACAGGACTGAGATATAACTGTTCATGCACTGCCTGTGGCTAAACAGATCCTTCACTTCCACTGTTGCCAATGAGGGAAACAGTTACTCACTTCTCAGTAGTTTGCATGTTGATATGTGACTGATAGCTATTCTTGGCCCATGTACCCACATGAGCCAAATAGATCTGCCTGACAATGTCCCATTCACAGCCACAGGAATCTCCTAGGCAGGCAAATGATCCAAGCTGTAATGTCCCTGCCCAAAATTAGCATCACGAATTTGAGCAAGACACTTCTCAACCCAGGACCTCATGCTACATGCCTTACTTCAGCATGCTATATGTCTCCCAGCCAGGCAAGTGCTTGCTAAGCCCCTTTCAGAAAGGCTTGGCTATTTGTCTCATTGCTGCACAATGTCTTAGGCAGAGCTGGGAACAAAGTTAAGGACCCCCAGCTGCCAGACCCTGTTTCTCTAATGGTTGTACCCAGCCACAACATAGCACTCCAGCTATATTCAGCCAGTACGTGCAAAGCAGCTCAGGAGGTATTTTTATCCCCCTCCCTCCCAACTTCTCAAGTGCACAAAGATGAGTTAATATGTGTGAGTGCGCTGAACAGGTGACAGTATTTAAAAACACAACAATCACAAAGAACAAAAACACCAACCAAAAGGAGATGATCAAATGATAGAGGAAGAGAATCAGCAACTCCCAGTCCTTCAATGAAAATGAGTGACAGGGAGACTGAGTAAACACACTGTAGATCTGCTCCACCCAGAGAGGACCTGGGCACCTGTGATTACCTTTTCTTTCGAAGACAGCGTTGGATGAACAAATTTCCTGTACAGGAGGCTGGAGCCTTTTGTGTATGGAGACAGGAGCCAAGCTACAAAAGCTATTTTGAGTTCATAGTAGAATGGAAACCTAGAAGAAAAAGATCTGTTAATGTCTGCTCCTAATTTAACCACTGCCCTTAATTAGAGATGCTCAGCACAGGAAGGGACTGGCCAGTCTAGCCTAGGGCAGCTTTTGCTTACCAAAGAATCGAAAGACCTAAACACATTCACTCACATCTCAACTTTGCACACATCTCAACTAGGCACGTGGGTAAATCTTTACTAGAGTATCAGGGCCATCATTTAATGGTCTGGAAGAGACTCTGCTGTGTGATAAGGGGAGCTTTCTACATGCAAAGGGCACAGATGCTGCTTTCATAGCATCCCTACTCATTATGAGGGAACAAAGAACAAACCACCAAATCAGTATTTCATTGATATATTTATGCACCTTTCATGTCTCTGCCTTTCTGCTTTTAAGATAACACTTAGCTGACTGAAACTGAGATACAAGAACCTTTGTTGTCCAAGCAACACGCAACATAAAGATGCGGATCCACACTATGGCTTTCAGGTAGCACTCCAAAATATTCAGGACACTAAGAACAGGACATGCTTTAGCTGTAACAACAAGCTAGAAACTTCTCAAGATTAGATTATCCAGACTCTTTTCTGGAGGACAAAGCCTAGAGCTCAAGGCTGGCCAGCTAGCAGCATCCTCATGCAGGCAGGCACGTTGCTGCCAGCAGTGTAATGAACCAATGCTACTCTTTGTAGACAGGGGCAAGCCAGAGCAGCACAGAGACCCTGTGATGGCTGTGCACCACCCCAGCTGGACTCAGACAGATTCCTGCTGCGCTAGCACAGTACTGTCACTGAGCCAGCTGGACCGTACAGCATCCAAGACTGACCCAATGGACCTCTGCAATGCTCTACTCTGAGCCTGGATTTGCCAGGCTGGTCTTCCACCTCACTGAGGATCTCTACAGCATACTTGATTTCACAGGCTGGACAAGCGCTCTGTCATTCCTCCCAAGAGACTCACATAATACATTCTCCAAAAAAACCAAAGCTCCAGATGAACACAGTGGAGGTAGATCTGCATGCAAATTAGATAGAGAGACAATAACATCTTTTATCTCCTTTTCAACAGATCTGACATGTTGCCAAGTACTCCCCGATTCCCTTTGTCTGGAGGACTCACTAGAGGCGTGCACTGCTACACAGGAACAGGCTTTAGGTGACGGCCATGCACTATGGTTAAATTTTCATCCTGAAGTCTACTAATCTCACTGGTTTCCACTAGAAAGGCCTTACTAAAAAGTGCAACCAAGCAACAAACATTTCCAAACTTGAGCATCCAAATTTAAGGAACTGAATCTGATAATTGGGCATTTATGTGCTCTCGTCCTGACAGAGGTCACCAGGAATCCTTACTGGCACCAGAGAGCCCCCATCAGTATGGGCTGTCACTGTCCTCCATCAAATCGTAAACGCAGCCTAACCAGGAACGGGCCTGGCAAAACATCCCAGGAACAACCACCCAGGCAGCAACCTACAAACAAAGTTCTGTGCTGCAGGGCTGTTTCTGCCTGATCCCTAGGGTCTGTGTATTTACTGTAGGACACAGCTAGGTAAGTCTAGAACTATGCCTGCAGCAAAAGCTACTGTTGTTTACATGACAATCTCTGCAAGCACCTGACTTGGAAATCAGCTGCGCATCTCTCTGACATGCAGGGGACTGAGACTACTGTAATGATTTCTCACTAATGAGATACCACTGAGCAGTTCCATCCTCTTTCTTGCTTTTCCTAAGACAGCACTGAAAAAGGAAGCATGGCTCCTCCAGGCAAAACACATCTATGCACCTGAAGCTGCTAAGCCTGTGTTCAGGAGGCAGTGCAACTTTATGCCCCTTTTTTCCCCCTTGTAAACATTTCCATTTGCTTTCCATCTCATGTCAAAGACCCTCTCCCATCTGGTGCTCACCAGCAAAGAAAGATATCCGTGAATGTCTCTGCTGTCGTGAAGAGTGCGAATATGATCCAGTACATCATCCATTTGACCTGGTAAACAAAAACAGTAGCCGGGTCATTTTTCCCCAGGGGCCTCAAACTATCTCTTGCAGGCACAAGTGCACAGAATAACTCTCTCAGAAAAAACGGTTCTTTCCCCCACCCTGTGTATTCAACAATTACTACGGACTTGAAGATCCCAGAACTCCCCCACCTCAGCACGTAACACATGTCAGATTTCCACACAAGCCCTTTGGAAGGAAGATTGTGGCCTTTAGGACTGGTCTCATGGAAAGAAGAACAGCCTGACTGTCCCTAGAGGAAACTCCACTGGCCAGCGGAGGACCACAGCCCTATCACAGGGCATTAAAAATCTCATTTGGCTCATCTTAATAGCAAAGGTTAATACTAGGGTGTTGGCCAAACTGCAATTAAGACAAAATGTAATTACTCTACGTAATATCTACAGACAGGGGAAACCAGCCAGGAAGAGATAAAGAAGTAACCGCCCATTCTGTGATCCAGGGTCACAAGCACAATCAACTCACCGCAACTTACTGAATTAGCGTGCATCAGTTGAGTGATGGTGCCTCCTCACATCCACACCCTGAGCCCATTGCAGTGACAAGGGCAAGTCTGTTAGCTTAAATCCCTTACCTAGGGCTTAGGTGAGAGCATTTTACCTCATACTGGTAGTGAAAGCATGTGCTGTGCTGTCACTGTGTTCAACTATGGTAACTCCAGTGTGGGGTGGACTGCTTGTTGGGTGATTCATGGATGGTCTCCTTTGTGGTGATAGTGACAGACACAGAAAGAATCTTTGGGGACTGTGACTTGGGCAGGGAAACTGTAGTATCGCAAGTAATTCAGGAATCTGGGGATTTTTGTGACTGAGCACTAACTGGCATTTAAAAGCACAGCTAAACTACTCTGATGTACACAGTATTGGTTCTTCTTGGGCTGGAAAGAAACAACGTATTTTGTCACATGCCATTAGCACTTCCAGTGATTTTTATCAAGTGACGTGGTACTCCTCTTCTGTGGCACTGTCACCACAGAAATGATGTAAGGAATAATTTCCAAGTACTGGAGATGAGAGAGAAACCTTTTATTGCCCCTCAATATTTTTTTTTCCACTGTAAAATTGTAAAACCACTGTAAGATTGTAAAAGTTCAAAGAGCTTTAAGAACCTGTCTCTCCAAAGGAAAAGAGATGGTAAGACAAGAGTTGTTAATTTAACTGAAAATTGTTGTCTAATTAGCTGTATCTGAAAATGGAGATCCTTAAGCAGTTTTGCTGGAATGTTAGAAAGCTTAAGGAAGTAAAATTCATGAAAATTCACAAAAATCCATGAATTAGAGAATTGGACTGTGTTACCTAAGGCTGGAATAATTGTAAGAGAATAAGGGAAGGCTTGAAAGAAGGCAGTACAAGAGGGATACCTACACCAGGTGCTGCTCTGGGGAAAGGGGGATGGAGGTGGCAATAAATCTGGATCTCACCAGCTCTGAAATGGCTTGCTCCATCTTCTCCCCAATGCAGTGGGGTCAGTACCTGTAGTCCCTCTCCACCTTCCTGCAGGTACTGAAAATATTCCCTGAGCACCTGTCACCCAGCTATATAACTGCTCCCCTGGGATTTATATGTATATTTATATTTAGTGTTACATCAGTAGAATGGCACTGCCAAATGCCCGAGAGCATTGTCTTCCCAGGGCAGCTTCTGCCAGACTTTTTACATAACTGTGACTCCCTCAAAGCCTCACTGCCAGCATGGTTCTGTCAGTTGAGACATTCCTGCCAGCAAAACTTTTAAACACAAACCAAGACCTGGTGTGGATGGGCTTGCATCAGCCTGAAACACCATTTATCAAAATTACTGTTACAAAGCAACATAAAAATACACTATAATGATATAAGTTTTTACTAGTACATGAAGCATGAAGGGTTTGTACTAGGTCAGTGTAAATTACTTTTTTGTTTGTTTGTTTTTTTAAACCAGACCCCTAACGGACATATTGCCACAACTTGTGTGTTAAACAATTGTAAGTGCAGACCAGGTCTTAGATCAGCTGTTCCCACATTTGGGTCATGACCCTATGTGTCTGATGTGAGTTCCTCTTTTGCAATTGAATCTCCAACAGGAACTGGACCCTTCAACAAAGTATTTTCCAGAACAGGACTATGGAAATGCTAAGTATCAGTGGGAGACACTGCCTGGGGATGCTAGCACACGTCTTCAGCATTTCCAAGCAAAGGGTGTACAAACCTTCAGAAGCACAGCTGTGCAAGGGCTGCAGGGACGTTTTGCCTTAAGTATCTGATGTGTTCTGTAACACTTAATGATTCTCAAAATATCCAAAAACATTATTTGAAGGAGGGGACTGATAGAAAGGAAAAATCTCAGCAGCCACAGTGAGTCCCAGTTTGAGCCTGCACTAAGGACTTAATGGGATATCCATCCATGCTGTTACCCAGAAGAGAAAATGAGCTTTTTACCCCTGGGATCTTGAGAAGATTGAAGATTCAAAGTCTGGAGGCTGAGCCAGGTTCAGTGAAGTTAACAGGGCTCAGGTTGTGAAGGGCACTACAAATCCTACAGGACCCCAACAGCATCTAAGTGATTTTGATTCTCCCATATTTCACTTTCCCTGATGGCTCATATGCCTTTAGAAACTAGGGCCCAGGGAAGATTTTTCAGCAAAAAGGACAAGACAGCACACCCAGTTGCCAGACCTGCCTGTAAATAGGTCGCTCCACAAGGAAGGATGTTTCTATCTGAGGATTCAGCCATATGTGCTTCAAGTTGCCTCCTCTGATCCTTGTTTTGAATGAGCAGCTAAAGCTTCAAGGCTTTTTGAAAAGGCTTTGATTTATGCTGCTCTTCAGAAACAAAGGAAAACACGCAAGGCTCTGGATGCCAAACACCTTTTAAGTCGGCCGTATATAGCTCGCACCACCAGAGAAATAGCATACATTTGTCAAAGAGCATATCAACTTGCAGAGGAGCAAGAAGCACAAACCCAAGTCTCCCTGTTTGAGACTTGTGCCTAGCAATCAGCCAGTCCACCTTCAGGCCAGTCTTCCCCTTGCACTGGTTTACGAGCTTTCCCAGAATACAGGCAACATCTTTACAATGTGATAGGGCACAATCTTAGAAAACAAACCCTGCAGCACAGCCACAAACCTCATTACTCACATATTCTTTGATGTCCTTTGATTTCACGGCTTTGTAAGAATAATATGCGGGGTAAAGAGTGCCAAATATAAGCCTGGAAAAAAACAAACAACAAATGGATTAAATTGATTTCCTGTCTCAGAGAAAGATTTTTTTTCCCTGTCCGTTAAATGTGTTCCTTGCACTAGTAAAAAGCAACAGGATTTGATTTAAGCTTGAATGCACTAAGTACAGTACAGGAGTGATTTTACATCACTGAATTCAGAGAAACTATTGCCAGTGACATGAATGAAGAGCAGGGATTCAGGTTGACTTTTCTTTTGCAATGGTTTCCATAGCTGTACCTTATGAGTTACACACAAAACAAAACGAACCAACCAACCAAACAAAAAACAAAAAAGGCCACTGCACTTTTAAAAGGAAATTAAAAACCTGATTTCAAAATAATGTACTGTGACACCAGGAATATAGGAGTATTGCTTTCAGAGGCAGGACAAAATGAGAATCATTTGTCTAAAATCCCTTCCATCTCTGTTCAATAGTCTGAAAAGCCAGCAGAGGATAAAGCAACATCCAAGTTCTATTGGCGCAAGGGTTTGAATACTGGGACCTTATCCTACATTAAATCTGCTAAAGGGAAGAGCCCTGTGCTGTTTGGTAAAGTCGATTTGGGCTCATCAAAGGAGGAGGAATTTGGTCACCAAGATATGCCAACAGGATTAGGCATAAAAATCCCAGCTCTACTGTTCTTTCAGACAGTTTCCTTCCATTTTCAAGTCTGAAAGGGATGCTGTCAGCTTTAAGATTTCATGTGAGAAAGAAATAAGGAACTGCAAGTTAAAAATAGCACTACTGAGAAAAAAACTTTGAGAATTTTTTATACTAACTCCTCTCTGCATCGCTGCCTAGCTGCTTATTCACTTCGATTATTCTGGACATAAGCATAGGCTTGTCAAAACCACTTAGCCCTGCCTAGGTTTCAGACAGTTTTATTCAATGCAGTAGGATGATGCTGCAAAGTCTGAATTTAATAGATTGCAGGGGAATGTCTATGGGCTTGCAACTACCCCTCTTTCCACCAGAGCTTTTGCTTTAAATTCATACAGTTGTTTCTGCTGCTCTTGGGAATGGAAATGATCAATATTTCAATCCCTAACTGTGGAGCCACATAGACCTGCAGTCATCTTTTCCATCCTGCCAGTGGCAATTGTGTGCTGTGGGACCCATAATTACAGTGGAGTCCATTACGTGTATAAGACATTAAAAATTAACACTCAGGGATATGGTGTACCATCGTACTTCCCGTAGCTCAAGAAGATATTTGTGAAAGAATGGGGTGAGGCAGCACACATCTTGATTTCCAAAGCAGTGACTGAAGACAAGACAATTTGCCTGCTATTCATCATGCTTACTGTAGCATAGCTTAGCAAAACCTGAAGCACAATGCAGACTTCTGAAAAGCAGGTACTGAGTGAGGAGATTCAGTATCACACTGGCTTCAAAAAGCTTTGCTGGAAACACTCAGCTCTGAACCTATTTCACCCACAGGGGCTGTGCTATATGCAGGGATTAGATACAAATGCTCAGAAAGATTTGGGGAAACAAAACGCATTTTTGTCCCTTGCAGTATCTTAAAAAACAGCAACACCAGCTAAGGCAAGGAAGAACACACAGACAATAGCTTGATCCTGTTCTCACTGAAGCTAATAACAAATATTCCCTCTGAGTTCTATGGTAGCAGGAGCTAATCCAGAGAATTTTGACCTCACAAAAGGAAGAAAGCTCCACAATATTCAGAAACTAACAGCCAAGCACATGAATAACGTTTCTGGCTCTACTTATAAGTACCACTGCATTTCTGTCCTTCCTTCTTGGCCCAGGGTTGGCTGCTACCTTACACTTTTATTTCCTGCAAATAATCACTGAATGACTGATAATTCGTTTCCTCAGTTTGTGCTGGTAACAGAAAGTAACTGGAAGCAAACAGTTTACAGGATCACTAGAATAGAATTAGTTGCAGACAATAAACACTTGAAAAAAATTCCTGTGACGGAAGGAAACTGTGCAATACTTTTGCATACGGAGAGCAAGAGACAGTTAATAGGTGATGCGCTCTCCCTAAACTGGAGATTGAGAGTTTCACTGATTTGCCTTGTAATGTGTTGTGTGCATATATGGACATTTATTACTGCCATGGTTTACCCGACCGAAAGCTGTTTTAAGGAATGTTGGATCACAGTCTTGTCATTGCTGTAGCTTACTATGTGGCTTGGAGTCACTTAAGCTCTGGGTACACCATACAAACAGAAGCTAAAAGACATTCAGGCATTTCTGTAAAGCATGTTCAGGAGGTAAATCTCTCGCTTTGGAGACAAATACCTGCACATAGGCATATTTCAGTCTTCACTGGGCTTTGGATCAGGCTTGAATACAATTGATTTAATTCAAACACACACATCAATCCTCTATCTCTTCCCTTAGTTCCTCTCCCCTGCTGTAGACAACACTTCTCTCTTCACCCTCATCCAAGGTTCCTGTGTAATTAAAGTTATCATTGATTCCTGCCTTCCTTCATCCCCATGCTCAGACTGTTGCCAGATCACTCCTTCTGCACACTACACACAAAACCAAGGCTGATTCTTTGTCCCTCTGCCCAAGCCACTAAGTCATTCCTTGCCCAAGCCTCACTTCTAGCCTCCCTTGTGTGCTTTACAGATCTCTACCCTACCTGGATGCACCAGTGTTTAAACCTCTTCCCCCTGCCTCTTAAACACACATGCACTCAGAGGTTACCCTTGCCTACCAAGCTGAAATAATATTCTTATCCTTGCCTTCCAGGGCCTGAAAAATGTTGTTGCTCCTACCTACTGTTCATTGGGTCTTTTATCACGTCCCACCTCAGTCCCTTCTCTCCTTTAATGACTGTAGTGCCACCAGCTTCTTACTCTGCTGTTCCTTGTAAGTCTTCTCCCACACCCTGGAGCTCCTGTGCTCCTTGTTCCTCCATTGCATATCAACCCACTGCACCTAAACCAAGCTGTTCCCTGACAGTTAACCTGACAGCCCACAGTTTGCGAGGTAGCAGCCCAAGCCATGCAAATTCCAACCAAGCCATTCCCCAGTTCCTCCTCATCTCTCTAATCATCTTCTGCAACACTCCAGTTCTACCTGATAATCTCTGAACCACACCCACAGGACCTTCAGCTTTCCTCACACATCACCAAAATCACAGCACAGACCCTCAGTTCCCTCCTACAACTACCAGCTGACCTGGGAACGACATGTGCTATGACTCCTTCTGTGGTACATGCATTGACTGCTTCACTGGTGTCTGCCAGCTGGCAAGCCAATTAACAACCTACCTATGGAGTTAACACTGCAGCTTTTACCTCCTGACAGGCACTGCTATAAGACAATCTCCTATCCAGCAGCTAATTCTTACAAGTAATGTAGAAACTTAATATTTGAGACCTCTCAGACCCATCTATTTTGGCCACAATCATTTTGCAGATCCCAAAGTTAGCAGCAGTGGAAAAACAGATTGTTTAAGCCTCATTTCCTTAGGAAACCAGGCTACAAATACAGAGTCAATCCACTCCCCACCCATTTCCATCTTTCAAAGCTCCTTTGAATAGCTATGTACCCTGGAAAGCCTTGGCTCTTCTATCCTCTGTGCAAAAGCAGAAGCAGACATTCTGATCAGCAAACCAGGGACTCCCAGAGCTTCATGTAGTAGTTGCTACATTTAAAGCTACTGAGATGTGTTCGTACAGTCTCGCCTAAAACAAACACATACCCTCAGGGTATAGGGAAAGGCAAGGAAGTAGTGACTGTCCTGGTTTCGGCTGGGATAGAGTTAATCTTCTTTCTTGTAGCCAGTATAGTGTTATGTCTTGGACTCAGTATGAAAAGAACGCTGGGAACACACTGATGTTTTCAGTTGTTGCTAAGTAGTGTTTAGACTAAGTCAAGGGTTTTTCAGCTTCTCATGCCCAGCCAGCAAGAAGGCTGGAGGGGCACAAGGAGTTGGGAGGGGACACAGCCAGGGCAGCTGACCCAAACTGGCCAAAGGGATATTCCATACCATGTAACGTCGTGTCCAGTATATAAACTGGGAGGAGTTGGCCTGGGGGGGTGGGGATCGCTGCTTGGGAACTAACTGGGCATCAGTTGGCAAGTGGTAAGCAATTGCATTGGGCATAGCTTGTTTTGTATATTCCAATTCTTTTAGTATTATTGTTATTTTATTGTTATTATCATCATTATTAGTTTCTTCCTTTCTGTTCTATAAACTGTTCTTATCTCAACCTATGCGTTTACCTTTTTCCTTCTGATTCTCTCCCCCATCCCACTGGGTGGGGGGGAGTGAACAAGCGGCTGCATGGTACTTAGTTGCTGGTTGGGGTTAAACCACGACAGTGACATTCATCAGTGAGTTAGGAAAAGCTCACTTGCAGCCCTAAACAAATAAACACAACAGTCTAACAATTCTTACACTGCTCCATGCTGGAGGTCTACATCAATTACAATTGCCTTGAAAAAGGACAAAGCAGCAGCTGTGAAGAAATCACTGAAGAGTCAACTAATTGTGCAACAGGAGGCAAAAATCTAAGTAAAAGTTTAGTCTGCCTAAAGAATAGGATAAGGATTAATGCTGAACATCTTATAATCCTATTAGGCACATCAGCAGCAGCAATCCCCAATCTGGACTGCTACGTGCGCTTCTGGTCATTCTTTGTCAGAAGGGACATGGCAGAGGCAGAAGAGGAAAGGAGAAGGGCAACGAAAGCGTGTGGAAATGCACTGGGGAACATCTACAGGAGCAACTGTAAATGCTGCCGTTGTTTCTTCTGCAGCAGAGGCAAATAACTGAGGTTATTTGCTCCTACTCCTGATCCAGTATAAGGGGATGTTCAACTGAATCAGGAGAACAAAGTCAAAAAGGAGAGGAGAAACCCTCACCAGGAGTTAATCTGTGGAACTGAATAACTGTATTCGTATAGTTATATTACGTAGGATTTGGGGTTTGGGTTTGGTTTTCATTATTCAAGTTCACAACTAAATGAGACAGGAAAGGACTAAATTCCCCATATT